TCAGATGATGCCCACAGCCACACAGTATTCATGGGTGTGGTAAGCAGCCTCTAAGATGGCCCTGTTGGTCTCCACCTCCCAGGGAGTACTCCCGTGTGTGGTTCTCGCCCACTCTGGACCAGGGTTGGTCTGGGTGACCAAAAGAAAATGGCAGAAGTGGCAGGATGTCACCTTTAAGATGAGGTTATACAAGACTGTGGTTTCCATCTTGGGATCTCTCTCTCTCTCTCTGGGGAAGTGACTGCCACACTGTGAGCAGCCCCATGGCATGGGGCCTGTAGTGAGGACTGAAGCTGCCCGAAGTGACTGAGACGCCTGATTAAGGTCTGGTTTTTTAGAGGAAGCGTGGACACTTGAGGGATGGTGTGAGGCCCATTTCTGGTGTGGCACAAAGTTTGATACCACTGTCTTGGTTTTACTTAGTTAATTGTACAGTTCATTTCTTCTATGAATTATCAGATTTTTGCAGTTAGAACGAGTCTTAAAAATTATCCAGTCCAGGGGTTGGCAAACTCTTCCTGCAAAAGGCCAATCTTTTCTGTGTGGGCCAGAGAGTCTCTGTCGTGATGACTCAACTCTGCACGTAAATGGATGAGTGTGCCTGTGTGCCAATAAAACTTTATTTACAAACACAGGTGGTGGGCCAGATTTGGCCCGTGGGCCATAGATCACCTACCCTTGACCTAGTCCAAGATTTTCATTTAACAAGGAGGTGTTCACTCAGGATCACACAGCAAATTAGAAGCAAAACTAAAACTCATGCTCAGACCTGCCAATATCCTGTCTTTGTGCCTTCCTCTGACTTCTCGGCTGGCTTACATGGGCTCAATTAGGTGTGTGTTTCCTCCACTAATTGAGTTGGGGCTTTTCCCAGAGGCCTCCAGGCAGGTACCAACCGGAATGTATTACAACCGCCCACACCTGCGGTAACTGCTGGATCAGCGTCAGAGCCTCTGCTGAACTCTCCCCACGTGTGAAGCTTAGGCTTCCCCAAAGAGACTCAAAAAGTGAGGTGTGAAGGAGAAAGTGTGGGCTATGGAATGAGATGGACTTGGATGTTAAATGTGCCCCACTATTAGCTCTGGGTGACTGATGTCAAGTCACTTCTCCACTGAGCCTCAATTTTTTCCATAAAATGAGGGTAACAACCCACCTCCAGACACACTATCTGTCAGATACCTGCTTCTGTGCTTGGCATGTTGTTGATACCGACCCTGATATCAGTTTCCCCACATTAAACCCAGCATATATGGGTTAAAACCAAAACTCTCATTCCCTGCTTACTCTCTGGCTTCCTGGCTCCAGAATCCACTATCCTCCATGGAGACAGACACCATCAAGGACAAGCACCTGGACTATCTCCTCCCGCAAAGAGATACAGGCTGGTGGGAAAGCTGCTGACCAGCAAGGTCATGAGCTCCCTCCTCTCTGCAAGTGTCTCAAGGCCAAAGACAGGCTGGTGGGAAAGCTCTGACCAGCAAGGCCATATACTCCCCCTCCCCTACCTAAAACCCCAAATAAAAACCCTTCTTTTTAGCTTTTCAGGGAGTTTGGGATTTGAGCGTTAGCTGCCCTCTCTCCTTGCTCAGCGCTGTGCAAAAATAAAATTCCTACTTTCTTCCACCACACCCGGTGTCAGAGATTGGCTTGCTGCACAACGGGTGAGCGAACTCACTTCAGGTTCTGTAAAATTGTGAGTGCTTAATAGAAATTTCTGGGCACAATGGTGGGGTGGATTTGCTTACGAGAGGTTGTGGGCAGCTTCTACGGTGGCCTCTGTGGGTCCCTGCTCCTGGTACTCACATCGTTGTGTACCCCTACCCTTGAGTGGAGGGGACCTGAGATTTACTTCTAACAAATAGAATATAATGTAAGTGATGGGATGTGGTTCCTCGAAAAATTAAATATAGAATTACCATATGATCCAGAAATTCCCCTCAGTGTGTATCCCAAAGAACTGAAAGCAGGGTCTTGAAGAGGTTCTTGTACACCCATGTTTATAGCAGCTTATTCACAACAGCTGAAAGGTGGAAGCAACCCAGTGTCCACTGACAGATGAATAGATAAGCAAAATGTGGCCCACCCATACAAAGGAATATTATGCAGCCTTACAAAGGAAGGAAATTCCGACACATGCTACAGCATGGATGAAGCTTGAGAACATCATGCTAAGTGAAAAATGCCAGCCATGAAAAGACAAATACTGTACGATTTCACTTATATGGGGTGCCTAGAATAGTCAAATTCACGAGACAAAACGTAGAATGGTGGGGGCCAGGGGCTGGGGGAGGGGATGAGGGGTTTGTGTTTAATGTACTGAGTTTCAGTTTTGCAGGATGAAAAGAGTTCTGGAGATGGATGGTGGGGATGGCTGCACAACAACATGAATGTGCTTAACACCACAACTGTACATTTAAAAATGGTTAAGATGGTAAACTTACGTTGTGTATTTTACCACAATCATAATCTCAATCATAAAAGAAACTTTCTCTCAATCCAAGACCAAAGAAGTTACTGAGTGTGACTCCTGCAGCTAAAATTAGGCTGGGCCTGAGACCTGGCCCTGAGTTCCTTCATCTGCCTGGGACAGCAGGGTCGGCCTGCCCTGCCAATCATCCCCCACCAGCCAGCCAGCGGCCTGCCCAACCTCTTCCAGAATTGGCTGGGAGGCTATTTTGGTACAATCCGTTCTCTCAGGAAATGAGATCCCAGAACATTTGAGCCGGAAGGCAGGGGTAGGCTGATCGCCAACACCCATCAGGTGCTGGAGGAGCCGAGCAGACGCTCTGGGCACTCCTACAGAGCTGCCTCTCAACGACAGAAGTTAATTTTCTTACAGTTCTGGCAGCTCAAAGTCTGGGACTAAGGTGTTGGCAGCACATGTGGTTCCTTCCGAGGCCTCTCTCCTCGGCACGTAGCCAGCCATCCTCTCCCAGTGTCCACACAGGCTCCTTCCTCCGTGCGTGCCTGTGTCCTCATCTCCTCTTCTTATAAGGACACTAATCATATTGGGTTAGGGTGCACCCTAAGGACCTCATTTTAACCCAATCACCTCTTTAAAGTCCCTGTCTCTAAATACAGTCACATTCTGAAGTAGTGGGGTTAGCACTCAACATGCGAATTTTGGAGGGAACACAATTGAGCGTGTAACAGACATGGGGCAGCACTTCCTTGCGGTTTTCGTGTGTATTTCATGTGATTACCTGCCTCCCTATATTCTCTTTGGTGAACTGTCTGTTCAAATCTTTTGCCCAATTTTTTATTGTTTTTTCCTTACTGAAGTACTTTTTACAGCTTTACTGAGGTAAATTGACATACAGTAAGCTGCACATATTTAACGTATACAATTTGATAAGTTGTGACATGCTGTGTAGACCTGTGAAACCATCGCCACAATCAGGACAGTGAAGACATCGATCACCCAAAGTTTTCTTGTGCTTCTTTGCCATTCCTCCCACCCACCCCTTCCTGTCTCTCTCTTCGCATGCACCCACTGATCAGTTTTATGTTATTATACAGTCGTGCACCACATAATGATGTTCCAGTCAACAACGGGCCGCATAGACGATGGTGGCCCCGTAAGATCAGTACCATAGAGCCTAGCTGTGTGGTAGGCTGTACCATCGAGGTTTGTGTAAGTGCACTCTCCGATGCTCGCACGATGAGATCACCTAACGACGCCTTTCTCAGAACATGTCCCTGCTGTTAAGGGAGCACGACTGTAGATGAAGCTGCCTGTTCTAGAATTTTATATAAATGGAAGCACACCGCATGCATTCTTCTTTGCGTGGCTTTTTTCACCCATCACGATGCATTTGAGGCTCATTCATGTTGTCACATGTCAGTTCCTTTTTATTGCCAAGCACTGTTCCATTGGTGGACCAGTTATTCGTCCATTCCCCTTTTGATGGACCCTTGTTTGTAGTTTCCAGTTTGTGTCTGGTACAAAGCTGCCACGAACATCTATGGACATGTCTTTGTGTGGACACATACTTTCACTTCCTTTGGGCAGATACCTAAGAGTGGAACGGTTGGGTTGTATGATAAGTGCATGTTTAACTTTTTAAGAAACTGCCAAACTGTCTTCCAAAGTGGCTGCAACCTTTTACATTCCCACCTGGGGTGTGAGTTCCAGTTGCTTCACATCCTCACCAGCACTTAGTGTGATCAGTTTTTTTAATTTTAGCCATTCTAGTGGGCGTATCTTCCCACCCCTTTCCCTGATGGCTAAGGATGTTGAGCATCTTTTCATGTGCTTATTTCTATTTCTTCTGTGTATTCTCTATGGCAAAGTGTCCATTCAAATCTTTTGCTCATTTTAAAATTGGGCTGTTTGGGACCAGCCCCATGGTGTAGTGGCTAAGCCTAGCATGCTTGGCTTCGGTGGCCCGGGTTCATGGGTTCGGATCCCCGGTGCAGACCTACCCCACTCATCAGCCATGATGTGATGGCAACCTACATACAAAACAGAGGAAGACTGCACGGATGTGAGCTCAGGGCTAATCTTCCTTAGTGAATAATAATAAAATAAAATTGGGCTGTTCGTTTTCTTATTATTGAGTTTTGAGAATTTTTTATGTAGTCTAGATACAATCTCTTTACCAGATGTGTGACTTCAAAGATTCTCTCCCAGTCTGTGGCTTGACTTCCATTCTCTTAGCAGCATCCGGCACAGACTCGTAGCTGCAAATCCCAACCACCCCATTAATCCTCCCACCTATCTCTGAAAGACATTGATAATCGTGACCCTTGCCCCAAGGAGCACAGAGGTTTGGAGAAGGGGAGGCCCCATGACCTGTCAGTGGTGGAGAGAGGATCTCAACCCGGGTCTGCTTGATGCCAAACCCCACAGACTTCACCCCCAGCCACTATCTCCTCTTGGCAATCGGGGGCTGCCATGAGCCTCATTCCCCTGGACACTCTGAGCATTTCAAAGGACACAGACCCCAACCGTGTCCTGAGGCCGAGAGAGCAGGAATGAATCAGACAAGCCAACAGGATCTTTCACAACAGATTTATTAGCTGAACCTTCACGCCCAGCCTCGATGGACATGCAAGAGGATGAATTTGGGGGCCTTACAGGCTCAGGAGCCACTCACCTCCCAGGTATCAATGGATTGAGGCACTTTCCAAACAGCTGTGCAACACCTGGGACCCCTGCCAATCCTGCGCCAATCTCGACGCAGCTGTAGGCTGATGCCCTGAGCACCCGTGTGCAGAGGACAGCTCTAAGCCTGAGACTGGCCGTGCCCAACCCACCCACCTGTCTCAGACGTCCTGCTGACCTAGGCTGAGATGAAGATGGCCAGGTGGGGCCCTCAGCTACCATCCCCCTCGCTCACCCTGACCCAAGTCCCAGCCCGGCCAGCAGCAGCAGCACAAGGCTTGGCACTGAGTGGGCAGCAGTATATTTGTTGAATGACTGAATGAGCAGTGACGAGGGGCACCAGCATGAGAGAGGCCTGATGCTTCCAGAGCTGCGTCTTGGAGTCTGCAGCCGGCTGCATTTCTTTGGTTTAGGGGCAGCCTGAAGCCGAGGATCAGAAGCCTTCCCACCCTCCACGCTCGCAAATCTGGCCTGGCCATGTCTACTGAAGGCCTCCTTTGTGCCAGGGAACTTGTGGGGTCCTCTGATCCACACACACAAACGCTCTACAATGCAAAGCCGTTCTTCAGCACAAGGAGCATCCCTCCTGCCCGCACGGTGCTGTGAGCTGCTCCGGCCACGACGTCGCCTCGCAGCAGCCCGCATACAGAGGAGCACAAGTACTCAGGAAATGCTGGTCAAATGAACGAGTCTCCACGTGGCTTGAAATTCTTTCACAGTCAAGATGTAATTTCAGAGAGGAAATAATATAAATGCTTAGGTTTCTGGCTGGAGCTGCTGCCGGGATTCTGTGGGCCCTCCAAAAAGCTGTGACACTATGGGGGCCTGGCCAGGAAAGAGAGGGACTCCACCATTCCTACAAACACGCTTCACCCCCCACATCTCACCTAACCCCTGACATCAGCCCTGGAGGCTGGGCTGATGGCCCCAGTTTGCAGACAGGGAAGCTGAGGCCCAGAGAGGGAGAGCTGAGCCCAGGATACCCCCCTTCCGGCTCTGTGGGTCCCGGGTCTGGGTCCTCTCTCTGGCCTCCTGCAGGCCCCCAAGGTGCCTCCTAATCTGTCTTCTTGGTCTTCTTTTTCCTGGAGCCCTCGCTCAGCTCCTCCTTGGACTTGGTGGGCAAGGCTGAGTGCGCGGAGCTGGGCCCACCGCCGCTGAGGGACCCACCGTGGTTGTCGTGGTGATGGTCGCCCCCCCAGGCCATCCCGAACAGCACAGGGCAGACGTAGCCCTCCAGAACATCAAAAGGGGAGCTGTGAGAGTGAGTGGCTGTCAGGAACACCTGAAGGGGTGGCAGGGGGATGTGGAGACAGCGAGAAAGTCAGAGCAGGACGGATGCAGAAAGCAAAACAGGGGGTGGGGGGAAGAGGGAAGAGAAGGTCAGCCGGGTCAAGGTCAGGTGCCCAGACCCAGCCCTCTGGCTGCATGCATCCCCAGGAGGGTGACCCAGTGTCCCGGGTTTCCCAGGATGTGGGACTTTTGGTGATAAAACCCAGACAATGCTGGGCACCCCAGGATGGTGGCTCACCCTCTCCCTGGAGCACTCCCCACCTAGGCTCAAAGAGGAGCTGTGCTTGGCCTGCGGTCCCCTCCCAGGGCGCCGGCAGCAAAGCTCCCCACCTCCACGGGGAGGGGGTGGAGGGTGGTCCCTGAAGACCCCTCCTGGGTGGCGTGACACCAACTCAAGGCCTCATGGTCAGACCAGCACCCTTCGTGGTCCAGCCTGAGTCCCAGGCGTCCTGAGGGTGTCTCCCTGCGTCCGGTCCCCTGGCGCTCCACGCCTGAGGCCAGAAGCCTGGATCCGCGGACTCCACACACTTCAGCTGCCCTCTTGGCCTCTGCCCAGGCTGCGCCCCGGCCCAGAGGCCTTGTTCCTCCATCCCTGTCCCCACTTGCTGGACACTGCTCTTCTCAGACCTCCTCCCACCCACAGACCTACTGGCGAGCCCCTCCACACCCACTTGGGTCGTCCTTTCTGGGACACGCGGCTGCAGGTCCAAGCCCGCCCCGGAGGCGCGGGGCAGCGGCAGCGCGATGGGAAGCTTACCTTGCAGGACACCATGAACAGGGTGAAGACGAAGATGAGGCTGGCTTTGGACAGCGGGAGCCAGCGGGTCTGCTGGAGGGTGAAGAGGACGGCTCCGTACAGGCTGGCCTTGGTGGGGCTGCGGGGGCACCGCCCGGTCAGACCTCTGCGCCTCCCGCCCCCTGCTGCGCCCACCCCCGCAGGGTGTGGAGATAGTGTCTCCCTGGGCAGGAGAGTGCTAACGCGGCCCAGAGAGAGCTGGCCTTTGCCTGACTCCTGAGAGGTACCCTCTGAGCCTGGGGATGTCCTGCCTGATGAGTGTCTGTGTTTACGAGGGGCTTTGGGCCACACCAGTTAGTGACAGTGTGATTTAGGGTGGGGTCTTGGGCCACGTGGTATCAGCTCGACCTCTGGAGGGGCTGGAGGCTAAGGCCAGCCATGCAGGCAGTCACCTGTGTCTGTGACCCGGCCCTCATAAACCCTGGACCCCAGGGCTCGGGGAGCTCTCCTGGTTGGGACTAGTCAATGCACACCATCACACACGGACGCTGGGAGCACAGGCGCCGTCCGCACAGCTCCACCGAGGGGACAACCGGGAGCTTACCCCTGGTTTCTCCTGGACACTGCCCCACACACCTTTTACCTTCCCAATCGCCATCTGTATCCCTCCCCTATAACAAACTGTAAGCATGAGTATAACAGCTTCACCAAGTTCTGCGAATCCTTCTAGTGAATTGTCAAACCCCAGGGTGGTCTTGGGGATCCCTGAACAGCACACTCCCCCAGAAGATGGGATTAAAACACACGGTTTTTACTTAACCCTCTTTTTCTTCCTTGCAGAACAGGTTTCCAATGTTTTAACTTGCTGCAGAAGACAGACCCGTGACGGCTGTTCTTGGTGCCTGTCGCTCGTGGTACGCACTTAATGACGACAGTTCCGCCCAATATTTCCAAAGCCCTCCCCAGGTACCCGGGCCAGGAGGCATCCGAGTGTCACTGCACAGAGCCCTCACACTCAGCTGGTGACGTGGAAATAGAATCCAAGAGGGGAAGCCACCTGCCTGCTTAGTAGCAAGGGATGCAGCTGTCTGGACCCCCATTTCTCTGTCAGTGAACTGAGGGTGGGCACAGACTTCTCATGGGGATGAAATGAGATAAAGCAGTGTTTTCTTTTCTTTTTTTTTTTTAAAGATTGGCACCTGGGCTAACAACTGTTGCCAATCTTTTTTTTTTTTTTTTTCTGCTTTATCGCCCCAAACCACCCCCCCCCCCCGTACACAGTCGTATATCTTAGTTGCAGGTCCTTCTAGTTGTGGGATGTGGGACGCTGCCTCAACGTGGCTTGACAAGCAGTGCCATGTCCGCACCCAGGATCCGAACCATGGGCCGCCGCAGCAGAGCACGCGAACTTAACCACTCGGCCATGGAGCCAGCCCCAAAGCAGTGTTTTCTAAAGTGTGAAATGGGAGGTCATTTTCCCTGGCAAATGGGTGATTTTAACTGTCATATTTTAACAGCAACAGCCTTATTTATTGTAGATTGGGAGATAGTTTAACTACCCTGAAGCTGTTGGGTCTTTCAAAAATGTCTTAGGCTAAGGGCAGTGTGAGGTCCTAGGTTGGGTCCTGGATGCTGCCACGTGGCCCTGCCCATGGTTCCCCACTTAGCGCCAGCCACACTCCCTACCCATGTGCTCTGCCCCATGCTGTGTATCCCTCACTCCCCACCCACACTCTGTACCCTCACCTGGTAGAACTGGGCAAAATCACTGTTCTTCTCTGACTTGACAGTCGGCAGAGGTGCTGGCCTCTGTCTGGAGGTTACTTCTTTGCCAGAAAATTCCTACTCACTCTTCAAAACCCAAATCAAGTGTCTTATCTCCCTGCAGTTCTGCCTGCCCCTGCCCCCAAGACAGAGCTGTGGCTCCCCGCTCTGGGGTCTCCTAGCCATGGGCTCTGGAAGCTTCTGGGAAGCAGAATCAGGGGCTGAGACTTCCAAGTTACCAAGAGTATCCAACCCAGGATCAGGCCCAGAGGGCAGCTGTGCATGCAGGAGGACAGAGGGGAGGATGGGTACTCACAAGGACATGTGCAGGATCTCGTTGGTCTCTGGCTTCCAGACCCCTCGGAGCAGCTGCTCAAAGTTGGACATGAGGGCGACGCCAGAACCTACGGGACAGGGTGCTTCTGAACAAGCCCGCCACCCCAACTCCCTGTTGTTCGTGACTCAATTCCCAAGGAGGCAGCCTCTTTGCTCCTGGAGTCTTCTCCAGAGGGACACTGAGCCTGGGGTGTATGATCATCAGGTGCAGGTGGGGAAACTGAGGCTTAGAGAGGGTACAGTCTTGCCAAGGGTCACACTGCACATTCAGAGCAAAACCAACGTGAAGAATTGAGGTCTTGTCTCACCTGCAAGGTATGTCTTGGACAAATCCAGGTTTTCTGCCCCAACATCCCCAATCTAGGACCCTGAGCTGTGCGTGAGGCTTCCAGAGGGCTCCCCACCCCAGCCCCTCTCCTCCTCAGGGCTCTGAGCTTTCAATCTTTCTCAAGCCACCTGTCCTCTGGGAGGCATGCTGTACCCCTGGGGAATTTGCTCTGCAGTACAGGCTCCCTGGAGAGAGAATAAGGAGACTCATGCGGAGACATAATGGTTAAATTTCTACAAGAATCTTCTCATTTACCCCAAATGTCTCAGCTAAGAGGCTTGGACTCCTACTCCAGGAGCAGCTGTGCTAACTGGGGTACAAATGACTACATGTGTACCACTGGACCAGGGGTTTGCATCTGGGGTGATTTTGCCCCCGGGGAGGCATTTGGCAATATCTGGAGACATTTTGATTGTTGCAGCTGGGGAGGGGATGCTACTGGCATCTAGTGGATCAAGGCCAAGGATGCTGTGCAACACCCTACAAGGCACAGGACAGCCCCACCACAGAGCATGATCCGGCCTCAAGTGTCAGTGGTACTGAGGATGCCGTGGCTCAATAAACGATGATTCTAGGCCCCGGCATTTGGGAGGTACTCACTTTGGTGGACAGGAAGCAGGGATGAGGTGCCCAGTGGTGTTTAGCACCTGCTTGAGCCTCCTTTCCCTGCCTTCCTGTTACTCTTTGGTCCACCTCTACAACTATTATTGTTGAATTGTCTATTTCTCCTTTAACTTCTCTCAGTTTTTGCTTTATGTATTTTGGTGGTCTGTTTTTAAGTGCATATATGTTTCCACTTAGTATATCTTCCTAGTGGATTGACCCATCACTATAAAATGTCCCCCTTTATTTTTAGTAACATTTTTGTTTTAAAGTCTATCTTGGCCTGCCTCAGCACAGATGTAGGAGAGGAAAAATGGGGGCTTCAAAGTAGTCATGAATGTGGATGTTGGGTTCAGAGACCCTGGAGTCAAGCCCAGCTTCACCCTCTTAGCTTCATAACCTTGGGTAAGCCACTTCATTTCCCTTGTCAGTAAAAGACAATGATGTTAGACTGCTTCTAAAGAATTCTAGGGATCAACTGAGATAAAATGCACAAAGACCTCAACTCAAAACCAGCCCTCGGTCAAGGGTCTTAACCTAGAGTCCATGAACCCAGACAGAAAACAGAATTACATCTGCATTTCCACCTCCCTCACTGAAACCCAACCTTTCCTCCCGTCGTGAAGGGAGGCAATAACTTCAGCAGGATTTGCAAGGCTGTGACTCTATCACCAACAGAACCCAGAATTTTTTCTTTTCACATTCCCGTTGTTGCAGATGGTTTCAAACATCATTTGTGCTCCACAGCACTTCAAAAATTCCAGAGTTACCAGGCGCTAGCGGAAGGTCTGTTATTTAATGCATTAGTAAAGATGCGTAAAATTACTGTATCAGACTTGAAAAAAGTTTTGATAACTATTTTTAAATTAATGGGCTTCCATTATTATCCTGTATATTTTATCTGATGCACTTAAAAACATCAAGGGCTTCCCTGGACTGCCAGAAGAGTTGTGGCTCACACAGCTCAAGAACCCTTGTGGTTGCGAGGGTGGGTTTCCTCTTCAAGAGGCATTTGGCAATGTCTAGGGACATTTTTGGTTGTCACATTGGCAGATGCTACAGGGTGGAGGCCAGGGATGCTGCTCCACACCCTAGGGTGCCCAGGACGGTCCCACCGGAGGGTGACCTGTCCCAAGTGTCACTGGTGCTGCAGTTGAGAAACTCTGCTCTAGAGACATCAACTGTCAGTGATTCATTGTCCTATTTACCTCTGAGAGTTAAATTTCTAGAAGAATCTTCCCATTTACCCTAAGGATGTGGGCTATGGGGAGTCTGGACTCCTACAGTGGTTCTGATGCCCCACAGCCTGGAGGAATGGCTGTGCCGCCCGGGGTGCCCAAGATGTACCACTGAGCAGGGGGTCTCAGCTGGGGTGATTTTCTGTTGTCGTCATGGTTGTTTACCTTTGACCCAGCCGGTGGCGATCATGACAAACCACCCGTGGTGGTAGTGGTGATGTGCGTGATGGATGCCCACGGCAATCTTGCGGACTCTCACCACCTCCTTCATGGCCACAAAGATGAGTTTCACCGGCAGGAAGCAGACACACTTGTAAAAGAGGTCCAGGGGGCAGAAGAAAACCAAGTACCTTTGTGGAGACAACGCGGAGTGTTGGGGTGCACAGACTGTGGGGCCCCCCTAAAAGGTGAGGTTGTGTCCAGACCCCCCCCCCCACTTGCCAGGCTCAGGACAGAGTTGGACAGTGGAGGGCAGTGCATTCAGGGCCACTGTGGAGGTGGTGCTCGTGTTTCCTAGTTCTTCCGACCTCCTGCCTCCCACTTCCCGGGTGGCTGGGTTACCCCTGCCCGTGGCTCTGATCCCCCATGCCCCACCAGCCTGGTGATGCTTACCAGACAGCTGAGGCCAGCAGGATGCTGGAGTTGTTGCCAAAGCAGTCGATCAGGGGCTCCCCGAGGAGCAGATCAGCCAGGATGTAACTCCCGAAGCAGTGCAGCATGGCGCACAGCCAAGACGCCATGGGGTGGCGCCGGGACAGCTCAACTGCTCCTGGGGGAATGGGGGTGTCCCCCACTGTCACCAGGGTGCCAAGGGCATGCTTTACCTACATGCCCTCTGGTCAGCCCACCCAATGCCTTGCAGCTTGCCCATTTTAGAGGAAGAATCATGGCTCAGAGAGGCTGTACACAAGCCCGAGGTCACAGAGAGAGAAGGCAGAGCCAGGTTGGAGCTCTTTTCTCTGCACTCAGAGGGGTGGCAATACTCAAAAGGCCAGCTCATGTTTAGCAAGCACTCCCAGGTCTCAGACACTGGTTCAGCGTTGACAAGAGGGACGTGTTAAATCCTCACTGATAACTGCAGCCCAGCAAATCCCTCTTACCATCCTCATGAGGAGGTGGAGGCTGGGAGAGATGGGGCGCGTGCAGCTAGGGACGCCTGCCCTTGACGCGGTGACTCCTACCTTGGGCAGATGCCAAGGTCCCTACCAGCTTACATCTGCACTCTTGGCCTCTCCCTCTTTACAAAAGTTTTTTCATTGTGGTAAAATATATGTAAAACCTACCACTTTAACCATTTGTAAGTGTATGGTTCAGGGGCATTCGGTACTTTCACACTATTGTACAGTCATCACCACCATCGTCTCCAGAACTTTTTCACCTTGTAAAACCGAAACTCTGTCCTCAAACGGTACCTCCTCACCCCCCAGCCCCTGGCACCCATGGTTCTACTTTCTGTCTCTGTGAGTGTGACTCCTCTAGGGACCTCATGTAAATAGAATCACAAAGTATTTGTCCTTTTGTGTCAGGCTTATTTCACTGAACATGTGCGCATGGTTCATCCATGTTGTAGCATGTGTCAGCACGCCCACCCTTTTTAAGGCTGAATAATGTTCCTTTGTAAGGATGGACCACATTGTGTTTATCCATCATCCGTCAAGGGACATCTGGCTTGTCTCTACCTTTTGGCCATTGTGAACAGTGCTGCTAAGAATACAAGTGTACAAGTATCTGAGTTCCTGCTTTCAATTCTTTGGTATATACCCAGAAGTGGAACTGCTGAATTAAACTTCCATGTTTAACTATTTGAGGAACTGTCAGATTCTTTTCCACAGTGGCTACAGCATTTTACATTCCCACCAATAGTGCACAAGGGCTCCACTTCTCCACGTCCTCGTCAACTCTTGTTTCTCGTTTTTTAGTAATAGCTATCCTGATGGGTGTGAGGTGGTATCTCACTGTAGTTTTGATTTGTGTTTCACTAATGATCAGTGATGTTGAGCATCTCTTCATGCGCTGGTTGGTCATGCCTTATCTTCTTTGGAGAATTGTCTGTTCGTATCCTTAGCCCATTTTTTAAAAGTTGGGTTGTATTTTGGTTGTTGAGTTGTGCTCCCTCCCTTGTATGGAGAAGGGTCACTTGCTGGGAAAAGAGCTTTGCTTGGCCCCAGATGGGAAGGCAGAGCGGAAGGGACTTGAAAGGTGGAGCTGAAGAGCTCCCTAGCCCGGTCTTGCTGGGGGAGTGCCATCAGGGCAGAGGGAAGCCACCAGTGCTGGGACGGATAGGGAAAGCACAGGGCACACACATGTGTGTGCAGTGGTGCAGGGTGATAAGCAAAGCCAGATAAGGGGGTCCTCGAAGGTAGAATTACACGAACAGAGTGAGGAGGGAGATAGGGCATCATCTCAGAGTGCAGCACAAGATTTTGTTTGAAAACGGGAATTCGGTGCTCACACAGACATGTGCGCAAATGTTCACGTGCTTTGCTTCAGTGGCCCAGGTTTCGCCAGGTTGAATCCCGGGTGTGGACATGGCACTGCTCATCAAGCCACGCTGAGGCAGCGTCCCACATGCCTCAACTGGAAGGACTCACAACTAAAAATACACAACTATGTACTGGGGGGCTTTATGAGGAAAAGGAAAAAAATAAAAATAAAATCTTTAAAAAGTGCATGCAAAAATTGTTGAATTCAGTCTGTAGCTGGTGTTCACAGTATTGTACAGATGTCAATTTCCGGGTTGTAATAATGAGCCATCATTATGAGATATTGTCATGGGAGGACGGTGGGTGAAGAGGACCAGGAACTTTTCGTATCATTTTTGAAATTTTTTGTGAGTCTTCAACTCTTTCAAGATAAAAACTATTTTAAAAATCTCAAATTAAAATAAAGGGCAGGGTGCAGTTCTTAAAAAACGAGTGTACAAAACACCCCAGGGGTACAGGATTAATGGCTAGCACTCAAATTCTTACACTTTGTACTCTCCTCTTAAAGTCTTCAGAATCTTTATAAATAGCTAGGTTCTAACTTTATGCTAATAAAGTCATTACCTTCTACAGCCACACCCCTTGTCAGAACCTGGGTGTCTCCTGGTGTGACAACTTATTTCATCATCTCGATTCCTTGTCTCCCCAACTAGTTCCATCTTCCAGAGAATGACCTGAGGATGGAGCCGTAAGACACAGCGACCCAGCTCTCACGGCCAGAGCTCACACCAATGACTGTCTTCAAACGACGTCCTCAAATCCAATGAAAACCCCACTCAACGTGGACGTGAGATGACCCGGCCACAATTATGTGATCTATTAATCAAAAGACTGATCAAAGCAATGAACAGTTCAAAGTGCCTCCTTCTGTTTAGGGATTGGCTGCCTTTTGTGTCTAAATTGTCAAATCTGAACACTTGGCCTCTCCATTCCATGGACTACGTGTGAACTATTGACATAAATGCCATATATGTATATGTGTATATATGTGCGCGCACACACACACACACACAATCGATACCCTCGACAAGTTGACTTGATCTTAATTCTTCGGTGAGTTCAGGGACCTCATCAGCCTCGTTTGCTCCTGACCCCCCAGTGTGTGGCCTTGTGCCTGATACAGAGCAGCTGCTCAACAAATGGGAATGAATGAAGGAGCTCCTACCCTCCGGGAGTTTACATTCCAGCAAAAGTGGACTGAATGCCTCCTAGGCACTGAGGTTGTATTGGGCACTTTTGGTTACATTATAACAACAACTTCACCTGCTCCATTTATTTACTGAATTACTATTTTGTCACAGGCAACTCGATGCCCTCACTCCACCCTCAAGGCTTTTTCAGCAATCAGAGCCCAGGCTTTCAACCACACTCAACCTAGGGATCAATATCCCCATCTGTAGTGAGTTATAGGAGGCACCAGTGTCCCCCTCCTCTTCCCCCAACAATTCACGGCCACCAGAACCTCAGAATGTGACCTTATTTGGAAAAGGGTCAACGCAGATGTAATTAAGGTTAAGGATCTCGAGATGAGGTTATCCTGGAGTATCCGGGTGCGTCCTGAATCCAATGAAGGTGTGCTTAGAAGAACAGAAAAGGAGACACAGACACAGAGCAGGTATGACATGGAGCAGGCACAGAGCTGGTACCTGTGAACATGACCTTATTTGGAAATAAGGGCTTTGCAGATGTAATTAAGACGAGGTCATTAGGGTGGGCCCTAATCCAACGTTTGGCGTTCCTTATAAGAAGAGATGAGACACAGGGAAGAAGACCATATGGACGCGGAGGCAGAGACTGGAGTGGTGCAGCTACAAGCCATGAAATACCAAGGGCACCAGCCACCCCCAGAGGTTCGGAAGAGGCACGGAGTGATTCCTCCCTAGAAGCACTGGGGGGAACACGGCCCTGCTGACACCTCGATTTTGGATTTCCAGCCTCCAGAATTGTGAGATAATAAATTTCTGGTTTAAGCCACCCAGTTGGTGGTACTTTGTTACAGCAGCCAAAGGGAATTCACACAGAAGGCCACGTGAAGACAGAGGCAGAGACTGGAGCGATGTATCTACAAGCCAATGATTGCTGGCAGCCCCGGGAACAGGCGAGAGGCATGAAAGGATCTCCCCTAGAGCTCCAGAAGGAACTCACCCGCCGACACCTTGACTTTGGACTTCTGGCCTCCAGACTGCGAGAGAACGAATTTCCGCAGTTTGTGGTCATTCGTTATGGCAGCCACAGAAAACTAACACAGCACCTGAGAGATGAGGCACTGAGTCTCCACAAGGTCAAACAGCTTACCCAAGATCACCCACGCATTCAGTGAGTATTTCTGAGCACCGACTGTGTGCCAGGCCCTTGCTAGGCACTGGCGATGCAGCCACAGAAGAGCTGGCTTGGACGTTGCCTTTGTGAGCTTCCTGCTCTGGCAGGGAGGCAACGTGGTTAAATAATCCCACAGATGAAGGGCAGACCTCATAACGGAGAGGCACATTGTGCTTTGAAGAGTCTAACCGGGGGACTATCCTAGTGGAGAAAGTCAGACTTCACTTAGGAAGTGGCGCTTAAGCTGAGATCTGAACAGCGAGCAGGGATTTCCTAGGGGATGGAGCAGGGGCTGGGGCGTGGGGCGCGATGCAATGACAATACAGGCAGAGGGAGAGCAAGGGAGAAGGCGGAGGAGAGCCGAGAGCTAAGGTTATGCGGTGCAAGATACACTGGTCAGGTTGGCATGGGCTGAACATCCAGCAAGCAAGTGACCAAGCCAGAGCCACACAGACCCCACACCTTCCCACATGAGGTCCGGGCTCTCTCCTGGGTCTAATGCCCGTGTTGGGGAAAGAAACATGAAGCCCTCTCTATTCTGTAGAAGGAGCTGCCTTCTTCTCAGCTTGTCAACTCACAGAGACGTGGGGGGTGGGGGTGGGCGGATACCCTCCCCTCCTCCAGAGGGAGAAAGCCCAAGTCTCCCCCCTCACACAGTCTGGGGGACCAAGGGAGATAATCACCTCGGAGGCCATTCGATAATACTGGGGAAATTGGGAGCTGTGTGTCCCGAGTACCAGCAATTCCACTCCTTGCTATTGACCCAAAAGAAACCAGCGCATGTGGGCAAAGAGACATGGTGAGGAGAGTTTCATTGCCGTAGTGCTACGACAGAAGAAAGTCAAGTCTCCTGTCTCTCAGGAGAGGGGTGGAGAGTCATACAAAACGGAAGATGACAGAGCTGCTATTTAAAGTGAATTAGATGTAGACCCGCGCTCCTCAACTGTGGCGCTGCTGACGGGAAGGG